ATTTACATTACTTGATTTCAAGGCTTAATATCCATTAGAATGATTAAGGCAGTTCGGTGATGGAGAAAACGTAAGGTGTATAAGTCAACGGACAAGAACAGAAGACCCAGAAACAGATTCATACAGAAACGATCCTTTTTATCATCAATAAAATATACTACTTAATTGATTAGAGAAAGAACAACTTTTCAACAAATATACTAGAACCACCAGATATCCCCTTGGAAAGAAAATGAGTTTCTGGTACTACACTGAACCCCACACAAAAAAACATTTTACTATAAATATAATTCTAAGTAAAAAATTACAAAATGTCCAGAAGAGGAGAAAATTTCTTAGACAAGAAAGAAGTACTAACCATAAAAGAAGAACACTGATACACAGCACTTTAAAAGAAAATCCTAAAACACATCAAAAGAAACTGTTAAGAAAATAAAAATGCAGGCCACTGACTGAAAGAAAATGTATTTCATTTATTCATCTGGCAAAGAATTTTAACATAGTACCTCAATATTTTTAAAAATGATACCACATTTGTAAATCACTGCCCATCTAGGGAGGGACTGGAGAGCATTATGCTGAGTGAACTAACTCAGTCCCACAAGGACAAATACTGCACGGATCCATTATTGTAGAATGAGTAGGAGGAGCCAATGGGGGGGAGGGTGGAAGCAGAGGGGCGAGGATGGGTGGGGTGGTGGGGTGTTAATCATAGGGTCACATAATTTGATGGGTGGGAGGCTGACAGAAATGGGAAGGATCTTGTTGTCAAAAACTGTATTCAAACTTTGTATATAAATCAGTATTTTTTTTAAAAAAAAAAAAGACACTGCATACTTAAGATGCTACAGTACAGATTAAATATAACTTTTATCACATTAGGCAAACAGATCTGCTTTACTGCAATTCTTCCGCTTTATTGTGGAAATCTGGAACCCCATACTTTCTCCAAGGCAGGCCCATAACCACAACTACACTAAAGGAAATAAGCAAGTCACAAAGACTAATATGGCATGAGCCCACCTACAGGAAATTCCAGAATGGACAAAAATATTCTACAATGAGGGAACTTGATGTAGGCTCATCCCAACTTGGGATGGGGAATCAGAATTTACTAGAAAGAGGTAGAAGGAAATAGGTTGATTAATAGAAATGCTCAGTATCTTTACTGCAGCGTAGTCAACAGAACATAAATATTTGTCAAAATTCAAACTAAGAAAACTGAATTTTATGTCTGTGAATCTGCTGTTGCGTTGATTAGGAAGAGATTTGCGAGAGAAGAGTCTCAATACTACGTGACATACCATATTACCTAAAACTTAAAACCAAACGTCCCTATTATACCTACTTTTTGAGAAAAACGTACAGAAATTTTTAATCTTGGAGACGTTCCCAGGGAAACAATTAATATAAAATCTCATTGACGTTTTCTGAAAATAACCTTCGACACATGCAGTTCACAGCATGAATTAAAAGCTACATTAAAGAAAGACAATGCTACTAATCTGGTGGCCTGGTGGTAATCAACTGCACTGCAAGTCCTAAGGCACATGGTTCAAATCCATCAGCAGCTCCACAGGAGAAAGATGGGTGATCTCCTTCTGTGTGATTAACTGCCTCCAAAAACTCACTGGAGGGTCAGTGGTGGGTCAGTTCTGACTCTCTGGCACATTAACAACAAAAAACATGCTAAGAAACATGGTTCACTCTTAAGACTAGGGAGAATGAGAAAGTGCACATAAAAAAATTTTGTAATTTTTTATCTCAAGCTTGGTCCGAATTGTTTTTTGTCAAACATTCTTCTGAGTGGCATAGCACTGGTCTGTCTACTTGCAGTACAGAGGTAACTTGTGGTTGCTTTGATGCTGAACACCGTGACACTGATGTGTCAAATACGAGAAAGGTTACCCAGGGTGGACAGTGTTTGGTGGAGCTTCCCGACTAAAACAAGCTTGGAAGGAGTGGCATGCACTTCTGAAATGGCTTGCCTCCAGAAACTCTATGAACAGTGCTCAGGCCTTTTGTTCATAAGGTCGCTACGAGTCTATGACTCGATGGCACCTAACTGCTACAATTACCTAGCTAATTTTAGAGCAATGGGTCTGATTATCAAGACAGTTACACATTCAACAGGGTGGCAGAAGTCAAATCATACATAAAAAATTATATATATAAATTGTATACATAAGATTTTAACTATAAAAGCAAAACCTAAGCACACTGACATTGAGTCAATTCTGATTCGCAGAAATTTTGGAGAAGAGAATTGAACTGTCCCACTGGGTTTTAAGGTTACAAGGGCAGCAAATTTTTATAGAAGGAGACGGTGACATTTTCCTCCCTCAGAGCAGCTGGTGAGTTTGAACCACTGAACACTCTGTTAGGAGCTAAAAATGAAATCACTGTGCCACAGGGCTCCTTGATTTTAAGTGTCTATGTATAAATATGTGTATAGGGACATGTGTGACTGCAAATGTTCAACAGGGGTCTAAAGCAGGATGAGTCTGTGTAGAGCCCCAAAAAGCATGTTGTCAGTCTATCCAGGGGTAACTGTCTAAATTTAACAAGCACACTGTCCAGTACACTGTTGCTGAGCAAACCTGTGTTGTCAATCCCAAACGAACACATCCTGTTCATTATGGACCACCTCCAAGCTGCATAATCCCTTAATCTGATGTGTAAAAAAAAAAATTCTGAGCAATACCAGTGACAAAAATGGCCCAGCGAACCAAAGTGCCTTCCCAAGCCAATATAAACTATTTCTTGGTCCAAACAAAATTCCATCATAAGTCACTGAAAAATTCTCTCTGCTCATTCTTAAGTAAAAGATTTTAAAAGTCAGTGGAGACAAGTCAGGATATTTTTACCGGAGTTGTGTAAAGGTGTGTAAATGCCAAGTTGTTTTAACACGCAGCACAGGCGTGATCCAATACCACTGACTGCTGTTAGCTCAGTCCTGGCTCCGTCTGCAACACCAACGTGGTTTTCTCCCAGGACCACGGTTAGGAGATGTGGTCTGGGCAAGGACAGTAACCACACACAGAGGGCCCTTTCAGCATTTCCTACAACAAGGCTTTTCCCGGAGGGAATCAGTCATGTGTGAGGAAGAAAGGTCTTATTTCTTCCCTTCACCCGTTTGGGAACACGAGAATACATGTGGAAATTTATCTTTCCCATGTTTCTGGAATTTCAGGTTGAGTCTATGATTTAACCCAAGTGATTCCTGACATCTTAAAAGGACGATTCTTCTAGGTTAATCACTCCAGCAAATTAATACCTTTGGGAGATGTTTACATTCGGGTAAGCAAAGGTGCCAGGTAGATCAGATTTCCCAAAGGCTACTTTGCAAAGCATTAGAGGAAAGAGGAAGAAAAACAGGTGAACAACGCATCTGTGAAGAAAGCTTTGCTTGACTAACCATCACTTCGAATCTGATTTAACAGTTCAAAACCTAACAAAGGCATTGCAGAGGCATCTTCTGTTTATTTACCGGAACCTGACATGGTCTCTGGGAGCCCTGGACAGTTCAGGAGTTGTGCCACATCTCTCCAGGGGTTCAAGTCTACCAGTCACTCCTCAGGAGAAAAGTGGGCCATCTCCTCTCCTGCAGTCTCACAAACCCATGGGGGTACTTAATATGGGATAATTTATGACATTTTTCCATTTATTAATAAAAAATGAAAAAGACACACCAAATCAGGACTTACTATTCAAACTACTCTAATGCACAATAAAAGGAATTGATGAAAAATTAACAAAAAAAATTAATGAAACCATAAGTTCTCTACAGATTCACCAACGGATAGCTAAAATTTAAAGTTTAATCTCAAACAGTCAACTATTTTCTCAAAGACATTATAAAATAAGTGTAACTACTTTAAAAGTCCGTGACTCAGGGCCTCACAATTTGGGGGATGGGAATTTGGGGGGTATAGGAAAGATCTGGTGGGGATCTGGAAAGACACAGTAATGGTTGGCATAGATCAATGATGACTGATTTTATAAAACATGATGAATGGAAATGATTGCATGAAACACAATGTGAATGAAGAAATCATGTGAAACACAATGTATACGAACTTTATAAGCAAACCAATATAAATTTTTTTTTTTTAAAAAAGTCTGTGACTTAGGGGAGCTCTGGTGGCCTAGTGGCAAGAAGCTGCACTGCAATCCCAGAGGCTCACAGTTCAAATCCACCAGATGCTCTGCCGGGAAAGGAGGGACAATCTCCTCCTGTACCAGTCAGATCCAATTTGACGGTACACACACACACAAAAGATAGTAAAATAATAATAAAATTAAAAAAATCCGTGACTGTCTCCTATTCCCCATCAATTCCATTTATACTCTTTTTAGTTAATAAACTGATTCCATTCAATAACTAAACAGTTCATTAAAAATAGACATTTATAATTTGGGCAGTTTCATTACATATTTCAAATAAATATTCACTTTGACCCCCAAAATAAAGAAATCAATCCCCTTCTCAGGTGGGTTCATTTCTCCTAGATTTAATTCTACAGTCACTTCAGTGAGTTTACTTTTAAACACAACTTTGATATAGATACAGAAGCTCTGTTGGCCTAGAGGATAGAGAGTTATACTGCCAATGCGAAGGTGGGCAGTTCGAATCCACTAGTGGTTCTGGGGGCGAGAGACAGATAATCTCCTCTCGTGCAATTCACAGCTTCTGAAACCCACTAGTGGACAGCCATGTGTGGGTCCTGATTCAGTGGCAGTAAGTACAATTAGAGCTGACAGAGTTTTCATGAACAACGCCTTCTCATACATACAACTATGACACACAGGCATAAAAGCACCAAGGATTCATCTGACATTTACAGCATTGCTAGATTGCATTTGAAATTTAGAACTGTGCCTTTGTACTTTGTAATCAAAGGCCGTCCTGACCTCAGAGGTAATATTCCATTTTACACCCATGTACTGCTCCAGCCGCACCACCTGAAGTCCACCTGCGGGCCCTGGACGTCACTTACCTTCTGATAAATCATGTGGCACATGGCCACCCTGAGCCTCATCCCAGCACACTGGACGTGATAGAAGTACAAGTGATGCAGGATGGCCAGCACCAGCGTGCAAGCGGTCAGCACCGTGGCATTGGCGTAGGCATAGGCTTCAGCTTCACGCAAAGCCTCTGTGTCAGTGGGGTTGTAATGTTCAAAGAAAGAAATAATTTTCCCCAAAAATATAGGCTGTATTACTTTCGTGCCTTCCTAAAATGGGAAGAAAAAAAATCTTTATTAAAACTACAAACTATACCCACATCTCTGAATACAAGCTTGACTTCCATTTGTTGTTGCTGTTGTGTGGCATCACGTCAGAACCGCTCATAACTGACCCTCCCGAAGGTCTTCAGAGGGAGAGCTCTTGCGGCACAGTGTTAAGAATCTGTGCTGCAACCTTGAAGCCAGGCAGTTTGAATCCATCAACTGCTACACAGGAGAAGGATAGTCAATTGAAACAGCCTATCTCTCATCCTATGGAAACAACAGGGGATTTGAACCACATGCCTTTGGGATTGCAGCCCAGCTTCCTACCACTAGGCCACCAAGGCTTCCTAGTTACTTTCATGGCATTAAAAAAGCCATGATGAGCTGCACTGCAATCCAAGAGGCACAAGGTTTGAATCCACCAGATGCTCTGCTGGAGAAGGAGGGACAATCTCCTCCTGTACCAGTTAGATCCGATTTGACGGTACACATACACAAAAATAATAAATTTTTTTAAAAAAAAGCCATGATGACAAAAATGTTAAATTCCTCACTGGTCAAAAAGAAAAAGTATTATACTGTTTAAGGCAAGTAGTTAATACTTTTAAACTTATGCCAAGATTATCAATTCAAAAATAACAAAACTTCAGTAAAATAGTCCTTTGTGACCAGTGCCTTAAAGCCCATTCTGCACATGATCGAGGAAGCTGTGACCAATGATGACCTGAGGCATCACGCAGGCTCAGTGGACTTACTTCAGATAGAGTGCAGCACCACAAACTGAAGGTATACAGCAAGTCTGCCTCAGGCAAATCTCGGAATTATGTTCACTTCAGCTCCCTTGATAACAGTTTTTAATTCTCCCGTGTCAAGCTTTTTCATAACAGACTACAGCAGTGTGACCATGACCTTTGTATGTTCAAGCAAAAAACATGCACGCACACACACACACACACACACACACACAAATCCATCTCATTTTATTGTAATATTTGCTTTATTATTGTGGTCTGAAATCAAACCAAATTATCCATGATATAAGCTTGAGATTGAAACTGCCATCAATCTCTCCTTCCTTGGATCTACAATCAACACCCATGGTACCTACCAGCAGTTGGGTGATCAGAGGACATACTATGAAGGTCAAGCCTGCTGTCAGGGACCTCTCCAAATTACTGAGAAATGTTGTTACTTTGAAGACTACAGAGCGTCTGATTCAAGCTACGGTCTTTTCAATCACCTGCTATGCATCTGAGAGCTGGGCAATAACTAAGGATGACAGAAGAACTGATGCCTTTAAACTGTGGTGCTGAGGAAGAGTGCTGAAGATCCCATGGACTGCCACAGGAACAAACAGGTACGTCTTGCAGAAAGTGCAGTCAGAATGATCCTCGAAGGCAAAGATGATGAAGCGTTGTTTCACATACTTTGGGCATGTTGCTAGGAGACGTTATTCCTTGAAGAGGGACATCATGCTTGGGAGATGGAAGGGCGTTGAAAGAAAAGGTGGGTTGATACAGTGACTGTGTCAATGGTCCTGAGTATGTCAGGGATTGTAAGGATGGCACAGGATAGGACAGTGTATAGACTGGATGTTCACAGGGCCGCTATGGGTCAGTCTAGAGTCAACAGCTCCTAACAACAACAACAACAAACATGTGGACCCAGAAGAACCGTCCGACTCCTACTCGGCATTAAAAAGGAAGCTGACTTGGGAAATCTGCAGGCTCTTTGCCGTAAAGGAGGGGGAATGCTTTACTATCCTTCATACCTCTGTCCTTTAGAAGCTGGGATGATGTCCTGGGAAATACAGCTTCTGGGGCTCAGGAGTCAAAACTGAAACCTAGCGTAAGCTAAAAGGTAATGTCATCAGTCAATCTCCAACAACCACACATTTCAGGTGATGATTTTGAAGAAGGCCCCCTGCCACCTGTCAGTCTGTCGGACTACAGTAACCCGCTCACTGCTACAAATACTGGAAATTATGCGGCTGGTTTCAAACAAACACCAGCTGGTTCTGCCACGGTGAACTGATTCAGCAGAACTTCCAGACTAGAGAAGCTAGGAAGCAAGGCCTGGTGAGCCACAGCGGAAACTCCACGGAGAACAACAGCATGTGGGCTGGTGTGGGGCGGAGGAGGAGCTTCCAAGGTCAGAGGGCATCTGCAATACACAGTAGCCACAGAAGCGGAATGATGCTGTACCCACAGTCATGAAGACGACACACAGCTGGACACCACCTTGTGCTGGGGGCAAGGGGCCCCCACGAGTCAAAGATGACCAGACAGCACCTAACAAGCACTCTCCAAGGCAAAATTAGCATCTCTTACCACTGATTTAGGAAGCGCTGGGGTATCATACCTCAGCTGCTGATGAGACACAGAGAAAGCCGTTTTCTTTGCCAAGGCTAAAGGCAAAGAGCCACCAGAACAATGGCCTCGGCCACACCACACAACAGCCAAAGGCGTTTCCCTTCCCTGCTCAGACGCCTCTCCCTGCCAAGTGACCACCCCCCGCCACAGCCAACTTCCTATCTCCAGTGGCCCCTTGTAAATGACCTCCCTCCTCCATAAGAAGCAAATCAAGGGCGTCATGCAAATCCAAGTTACGAAAAGTAAACACAAGGCCCTAGATACCATTTCCTGCACAGACTTCTGGAAGGACTAAATGTCAAAAGTTTGGAAAACATCCCAAGAACTCAACCCTGAAATTAGCTTCCCCCTGCCCCTTTTAATAAAAAGGAAACCCTCCTTATTAACACAGATGTAAACAGATGATAGGTTTGCTTTGGATAGCTCTGTTTGAAAAAAGAAAAGAGAAACAAGAAATATAACATACATTTTCTTCACAACTAGAGTACCCAATCAGGATATTCACAGAAAGATGGTGTGGTGCCTTCCCTGAAGTGGGTCACGCCCATAAACACCCACATTCTAGTAGTGTGGGGTGTGTACATGTATATCCTTATTCAGTCATATATATTTTTTCTCTCTCTCTCCCTCTCTTTCTCTATCCTTCCCTCTCCCTCTCTCTCTGACTTCACCAAGACTTTCCCTTGACTGATACCACAAAAATGGTCACTTCCTATACTGAGGCAAGTGAAAACTATTAAGTTGAATAATGGCAAATAAATGACCTTATCTAAAACTCCATAAGGGCACGGTACCTTTTTCCAAAAGATATTAAGATAGCACAACACATCTCCCTTAATACAATGAATGGATCATAAATGAGCCTGTTCAGCATTTACAGAGATGAAAATATGGAGGTTTATGCAGAGAAGCAAAAACATCAGACTGGACACTGGGGCAGCCCAGCCTCAGTGTGGCCAAGAACAGAACTGAAGCCTAGATTTTTCTGTCAGAAACCCAGCCATAACTCCTCAGTCCCCATCTGTGCTAAAGCTGACAAGTGTCTGTGGAAGTACTGGTGCTTGTCAGAGGTCTGTGTGTGACACCCACAATTGTCCTGTCCAGCACTATCACCCATCAGTGGTTCAGGAAGAACACTGGCAGATGTAACAAACCCAGACCAAAAGAATGCAAAGAGAAGGCAGCTCATCACCACACACTGGTTTGGATTTTTCCACTAAGCGTTCAGTCACGCAAACATGCTCACTGAGTAATGTTGGTTCACAGTCCATGCCTTCCCAGTGACCAGTGCAACTCTAACCTCACTTAGTATAAAATATATAATCCAGGAAAATGGTCATTATCCATCATGGAATTAACCAAGTTAAAACTTTCTGAGTAGCTGGAAAGTCAAAAATGGCTCCAATTTTTCAATCTTTTACATCAATGTTATTATATTGGGTGAAGTGCAGCTTCTTTTTACAAACCCACTGAAAATACAGCCCTCCATCTTTCACAAGAATTTCTTCCTCTCGACCCTGACAGCACAGCTTTTGCTAAGAGTCTAACATGCTGCTGCTATCAGATATGTCTGATGGCAGAAATGTTTCAAGAACTTGAGAATACACGGCATTGAGCATCACTAATGCACTTGACCTTGAGCTGCCCCCCTAACATCTGAGGGTCACTTTATGTCACAGGCAGAAGTTAGAATTTTCCTAGTAAACATGGTGCCTCCACCCTGCTCTCCCAAGTCCTCATGAAGTCTCGTGCACAGCTCCCCTACCGTCAATCCGTGAGAAGAAAAGACAGGCAAATGAAACAAGCGATCAGAAAAGCTCCCCAAAAATGCTGGAACAAAGAACCTGTAAGAAAAAATGAACAGGAAGATGATTTTGAGAAATTTCAAAATAAGTGACACTGGTAGATACAGGATGATCCAGAAATGAAGATAGCGAATCTGAGAAACTGTCGAGATTCTACATAGATTTCAAAACACACAAAAATCTACTGTCCCAAACAGTTTCTGACTTATTGTGAGGCTACTGTATCAGAGCAGAAGGGTTCACTCTGACCTTTAAATGACCACGAGCTTGGAAAGGACTCTGGCGGTGCAGTCCACAGGGAACTGCACTTCGAATCCAAAGGCGATGTCTCTTGATGAAAGATGTTCAATCTCCTCCCCTGCAATGTACAACCTCCTCAAAACCAGCAGGAAGGCAAGCTAAGAACTGGTTCCAAAGCCGCAGCAATGAGAGGAACGAGAGAGATGATCCTGGCAAACAGAACACTCGGGCTTCCTCCAAAGCACCTATGGGTGGAACGCACAGTCACACTTTTGGTCAGTGAGTGTTTAACGGTCTGTGCCACTCACGGACTCTAAGGAAGCTCTGGTGGCCTAGTGGAAAGAAGCTGCGCTGCAATCCCGAAGCACTTGGTCTGAGACCACCAGCTGCTCCCCAGGAGAAGGATGGGCTATCTCCTCCCCTCTGATTAACTGTCTCTGAAAACCCACTAGAGGGTCATCTATGGGTTGGTTCCCACTCTACGGTACACAACAAGGACTCCCAGGTATCCCTTTACTCTTCTTTGGATCCATGTTCTGAGTCCTGCCTTACTAAAGCAAGACCTGGGGAGGTTGTTAAAGAATGC